ATGCCCTGGGCATTCTCTACCAGCCAACCTTTAGGTGGTGTAGAAATCTTGTAGGGTAGGTGCACCGAGGTTACGATTGTATCAATGATTGTAAATAATTGTTTATCTAAAACTAAGCAAAATCTACAAATATTATGCATATAAGTTATAATGTAATACAAATATAATTACACATATATATAGAAATAAATATAGATATAAATACATATTATTTATGTTTGTACACTGTGAATGCTTGAATTTAGGAGGTGTACCATTTGTTAAGTCACTTTCGCCATCTCTTCAAGAAGGTAATTATGTACATTCCTTTTAAATGCGAAACGGTTTGTGGACATCCTGATTTCGAGTGGGAGCGCATTCCAGAGCAGAACTACTTGTACAAAGAACGAGGAGTTCACGAAGTCTGAGTTGTGGGGGGGACACAAGAGAAGCAAATTATTCGTTGATCTAAGATTTCTGTCGTGATTAGAGGACAAGAAACGGATGTAAGGATCGAGGTAGGTGGGTGAAAATGGGCAGTTGAGGAATGAAAAGAGAGAGGTCAGCGCTCGCTGATTGCGACGCAAGCGAATAGGTAGCCATTTTAATTGGGAGCGTAAAGCAGACACATGGTCATACTTGCGAAGATTGAATATGTATCGAATGCAGTTATTGAGAAGACGGTCTAGCTTATTGAGGAGGTCTGCATTCAGGTCGAAGTAACACACATCACCATAGTCAATTATAGGAACAATTAGGGACTGCATGAGAGAGGTTTTCGTTTTAGTGGGCAAGAAGTTTTTAAGTCGGTATAGTGTTCGCAGGTTACCCGTTACTTTTTGGCTCACATGAGTAACTTGAGAACGCCAATCTAGGGTTGAGTCGATGAGCAGGCCTAGGTCTTTGACTACCGGGCTCCAAGGTATAACTGAGCTGCTGAAGATGACTGGTGGGACTGATGTAGTATCCAATCTTCCAATCATATGTTTGCTGCCGACTACGATCGCCTGACATTTAGTAGGGTTTACTGACAATCCGAATCTGATCGACCAGGATTTTATAAAATCAAGGTCTCTGTTGACGTCATCGATGGCTCGCGTTATATCCTCCACCCTTGCTTGTGAGTATATCTGCAGATCATCGGCATATAGGTGATACGCACACTGAAGGTGTTGAGTTATGAGGTTGATAAAGATAGAGAATAAAAGAGGAGATAAAATTCCGCCTTGAGGGACTCCAGCGTGGAGATCGCAAAAACTCGACGACACGTTCTGAACGCGAACACACTGCTGGCGCCCCTGAAGATAGGTGGAGAACCATTCCAGTGCCTCTGGGGACATCTTAAGGTATTCAAGGATTGATAGTAGAATTTCGTGACTGACGGTATTAAAAGCGTTAGAGAAATCAACCAAGACCAGAACTGTAACTTTGGTGTCTTCCATGCCCTTTCTAATATCCCCAGTCACTTTGAGGAGGGCGGTAGTAGTGCTGTGGCCAGGTCTAAAACCGGACTGTAGGGGACTTAGCAGTTTTTGTCGGTGCACAAATTCTGAAAGCTGCTTGTATACACAGGCCTCGAGCACTTTAGACAGGAAGGGAAGAATAGAAATAGGTCGGAAGTGTTCGGGTAATGAAGGGTTATTTTTTTTGGGGAGAGGGATGATGTTCGCCTTACGCCACAGAGAGGGAAAGGTTCCTGAGTCTAGAGAAAAGTTAATTATGTGAGTAATTACCGAGAGAGTATAGTCCAGGATGGTGACAATCATGCGTCGGCTAACGCCATCATGCCCCACAGCATTAGAGTGGATAGATAGGATAATCTTCTTGATGTCCCCAGAAGGCACCGGAGAAAATTCGAATGAGTCGATACTGGGACTGGTAAGACCAGATATGTAGTTCAGCGTTTGATCCTTGGTTTGTAGATCCAGCGTGGGTGTGGATGAGAAATGACGATTGAGATCGTTCAAATCAATTGTGTTCTTAAACTCAGGTTGTTGTTTATTGCCAATACCTAGAGTACCGAGAAATTTCCAGATACTGGATGAAGAGGAGGACTCTATGTTTTGAAGAATGTGTTGGCGTTTAGAGTTGCGTATCACCTGATTACACCGATTCCGTGCAGTCTTATAACTGTTCCACTTATCCTCGCACCGGTCTCTCTTAAATCTAAGAAAGGACTGGTCCCTCCGCCTCATTGCTGTTCGGACCTCCTGTGTTAGCCATGGTGCCGGGGCACGTTTTATTTTAATTGACTTGATGGGAGCTTGGACGTCGTACAGTCGCTCAATTGTGTCATTAAAAATATGGACTTTGTTGTCCACGTCGGTAGCTGCTGCCACACTCGTCCAATTTATCTCCGCGGCATCTGCATGTAATTTATCCAGATCTATGCGCCGGAAACTACGAATTTGTAGAATTTTTGGAGGTGATTTAGGAGGTTTCAGGATATAAGATAGGAAGATCAGGTCGTGATGGGAAAAACCGGGGGCAGGAAGTTGACCGTGGGAGAAGACAAGGTTTGGGGAAGAAGTGAGCATTAGGTCAAGCCAGGTGTCCTGGTGTTGGATGTTATGATGAGTGGCTTGGAGTGGCAGGATGTGGAGACTGGTTGATTGGATGATCTGAAGGAGGTTGCGAGCACGGGAAGAGTTTAAGGCTAGGAGGTCAGTGTTAAAATCTCCCATGATGATGTGATGTGAGTATTCTGACCCTAAAGATTCCAGAACTGTTTCCAGACTGGAGAAGTAATTGACAGCGGGAGGGCAATAGACTACCCCAAGAATGACTTTAACTCCCCTGACACAAACCTCGAGGAACAGGTATTCAGCGCTAGTGGAGGTATTGGAAGAGGAGGAGGCTAGTGGTTTATACGGTAAATCACTACGAAGGTAGATGGCGACGCCGCCACCTCTTTTATCCGAACGGTCGTTGCGGATGAGGACAAAGCCGGTGAGAGCGTAGGAAGTAGAGGGAAGGTGAGGTTTGAGCCAGGTCTCAGAAATCAGGATGGCATGAACGTCATTGTCTGAGAAAGTCTCAGTTAAATCGCCAATGTGGCTAGGGACACTCTGCGCGTTTATGTGGCAGACATTTAAGTGAGGACGAGATCGAGTAGAAAATGTTTGCCGTAATTGGTCACCCAGAGTCTCTGTCAAGGAGCCGAAACTATCACCCTCTGAAGATTCATTGGCAGAGAAGTATACGTCATCCACATCATCAACCATCAGTGTACTGATATAAACTAATTAAGTATATAATATATAAAATCTACTAAGTCTACTAAATCTACTAAGTCTACTAAATCTACTAAATCTACCAAATCTACTGGTCTCAATAACAAATCGGCCGGGGTTGGTAGATCATTTCTCTACACCACCCACCAGCGGGCACAAACACAAAACTTAGTTAAGTCAAATAACACCTTATGGTAAGTGTCTGAAATCACATAAATCTGAAGTCAATTTGTTCATCCCTACATAGAACATTTAAAAGAAACAAAAAAAAAAAAAATTACAAAAAACATGAAAGAAAAAAAAAAACGTATAAATGAGCGGCAAAGAACAAACAAAAAAAAAAAAAATGATAATAATTTAAAAAGAGAAACAGGCAAAAAAAAGTCAAACACTTAGTACAGACACTTAATTCTACTACAAAACAACATTCCGAACGCACCCGAACTGGATGTCGAGCGAAAAGGCATTGTTTTGACAGGCAGATGTCATCGAGAATGTAGTTGTCACCAAATAAATGAATAATACAAAAGATGTAAACATGGAGAACTCTAAGTGTTTAGGTGATAACAACAACCTTATCGAGTGCGTAAACAAAGTGAGAGCGAGATATTAATTAAAGTTAAAGATAAATGTAAAGTAGGGAGATATTGTTATTGTTTCCGAGAACTTTTTTTGGCTATGTTCGAAGTTGCTTTGGGCGGTGATGCTGCCTTGGGATATTTGGCCATAAGGGGCTTCAACTCGTCCAGTGACGTTATTTTATGACGGCTATTATCATCGGGTTTGACAAAGATGGTGCCGTCCTGTGTCCAGCAGGCCGACATACCGAAATGTAGCCGAGCCATGCTGAATGCCATCTGTCGAGATCTGGTCAAAAACTCTCTTACCGAGAAGCCGGAGTCCTTCAACGACGTCTTTGCCTTCCAGACAGCAGCTCGAACTATCGCCGAGGAGAATCTGATAAGCACTGGGCGACGACGTTCCCCTGATGGAGTACCCAAGCGGTGACAGAGCTGGATGTTGGGTGCAGTGATATCTTTAAGTCCCATCTTATGATTTAAAATACTCAACAGGGTCTTGCTACAATCCTCCTGAACAGCTTCAGGTACACCGAGGAAGATAAGTGCCTTGCGACGATGGCGGGTCTCCATAACATCCACCATCTTGGCACATTCGTTGATTTGTTTCCGTAGCAGGCCCAACATGTTAAACATGAGCTCTCGGAATGCTCTAAATTCTTCTGACACTCGGGCAACGGTATCTTTGGAGTTCCCCCCGGAATGCAGCTGTGCTTCTAACTGGGTCATCCTCTTGGAGAAGCTTTCCTCAAGACTGCTTTGAGCCATTTGGATATCGGCGAGTTGGGACATGTTGGATAAAAAGTTGTTGAGTAGTAGTTGTTGTAATTTGTGTAAAAAGGCTGGCAGGTGGCTCAGAAACTTAGATCAGCACATATGAACAGACTAATAATTGTAAGTATTGAGTTAATAAGCAGAAATTCACTTAATTAGGTAGTAAATAAGCTATAAATAATTAAAATTTATTTAGAGCTTTTAACAATACGTGTGAACTTTTTAACACCTACCCACGAAAAAAAAATACTTTTATGGTAGCAATACTGTTGTAAATGTTTGATCGCAACTCATGCTGTTCCTGACGTATAAAATCTGTAGTAGCGCTGAATTCATCCTTAATAGTCCTTATAGCATTACCCATTTCGCTCGCAATCATCTCCTTGACGTCGTTACGTAAGACCTGACGGAAATTTTCCATAAATACTGTGAAACTTTAGTTGAGCTTCTGATCAAAAAGAGCGCTTATATTTTCCATTATCACTGCCTTGCTAGTATTAGTAATAGAGTTGGGCTTCGACACCTCTTCGTGAGAATAGGCAACAATTGAAATGCTTTCAGGCGGCATCATATCACAGGACATGCCCAACGTCTCATCACAAGTTGGTGCCAACTGGCCTCCGCGCACAGGTGTACTGTCGTGTGACTGAGTTCGACGAGTAACATTACTACACGAAGGACATATCCAGTTCAGGGTCTCTTCTATCGTAAGAGTAGAAAATTTAAGCTTTTCAATACTCAGACATTGATAGTGATATTTACCAATACACAATCGACATTTCATTGCATCTCTGCTAACAAGCGTCTTATTACATGCGTTACAAATCATATTTTTAAAGAATCACCACTTACTTCACAGACAAGTGAGTATGTTTTAATATGTCCTCAAATACTCCTGTATCAATGCTCATCGATAGAAATGTCCGCTTTACTCGCCAGTTGACGGCCTCACGTAAACTGTGTACTGACAGTGTATGTAGGTAATTCGGAAAAAAATATGACAGTTCGTAGAAAACATAAAAATACTTTCACTTGTATTTCCACCAAAAGATCTGGGTTTGGAAGACAGTCTACACCATCACAATGCTGATATCACTACGCACAAAATGGTATGCGACACAACCGGAAACTATTATTTTAAACTAAGTTTAAGATTTTTGTGTGGCGGAAGAAAAAATACGTGACCACCTTAAGATGACGTTCGAAATAAAATAGAAATAATATTAAATAAAAAATAAAATTTGTATCTTTCTAATCAAATTTATGTCATCCGTCAATTTGACCCACTCGTTCTTAATATCAGATGAAACTTCGTCACTCCATTGAACGTTCGAATCTTCCCAAACTTTCTGAAATAATAATTTTAATTTAGTGGTCAGCTGTGCTAGCCAACCTAAGGGGTCAAACAACTTAGATATTTCGGAAAGTAGCGTTCGTTTTGTTAGCTTCGTAATATCGGCTGAAATTTTATATTGGAAAGTAAATTCATCCTTGATAGGGTCCAATCGCAGACCCAGGGTTTTAGTTGTACTCTCTGATTTGAAAATTAAAGATGTTTGGCTATTTTTCTCGGATAAGTTAATGTTTTCTAATATGCTTTTCTCGTTGGAGGACCACTTTCGCAATGAAAATCCGCCGCTAGTAAGACACAGATGTAATTCTGCTATTCTTCTTCTCCCTTCATTAATGCAATGAGTTCCCGAAATATAGTCGTCCATATAGAAATCTTCTCGTAAAGACCTTGCTGCACTGGGGAACTTGTTCTGCTCATCAGACGCTAGTTGTCGAAGGGTCATCATTGCTAAAAACGGGGCTGATTTAGTCCCATAAGTAACTGTAGATAGCTGATATACTGTGATCGGTTTGTTGGTATGCTCTCGCCAAAGGATTTGCTCCAGGGTTTGATCTTCTTCGGAAATAACAATTTGGCGATACATCTTGATGTCAGCCGTGTACACGTATCGATAAATTCTCCATTTTAACAGCAGTTCTTGCAGGTCTTTCTGTAAATTTGGCCCTTTATACATAAGGTCATTGAGGCTGTATCCAGTGGAGGTTTTCGCGGACGCGTTGAACACGACACGTAGCTTTGTGGTAGAAGAATCGGCCCGTTCAACAGCATGATGAGGCAAGAAGTACTCCAGCTCTTTGCTATGAAATATTGCTGGTTTCATATGTCCTAATTCTTTGTATTCGCTTATAAATTGCTTATATTGTTGCGTTAAGTACTCTTGCTTACTAAATTTCCTTTCTAAATTCCTAAATTGTGCTATCGCCATTTCCTTTGACGATCCTAATTTTTCGCTCAATTGTTGTTTTAACGGTAACCTAACCTCATAATGACCATTTTCTAATCGTTTTGTAGTCGAAACGTAAAAATCAACACAATATTGATCTTCGGTTGACATTTCATGGATATCCTCAATCTCCAGAACTGATAAATATCCGTTGTATTGTTTAAAATCACATTGCAGTGAAAAGTATTTATAACACCACATAATATCCTCCCAAGCTGAGTTTGCTGCGGGCGATGTTGCATTAGAGCCCTTTAAAGTACCGCCTAACATAATAAGCGAGTATACGTCAGCCCTGAGTAATAGGTCTACAGGGCGACATTTGTAGTATTCAGGATCGGCTAAGTTCGGCTAATGTGCTCTAAATGTGACCAAAAAGGCTTAGTAAAGGATTTATTGGGCAAATTTTTTATTAAATTATTCATAATCAAAACATCGGTATTGAATTTAAAGCTTGTGGACATTGATTGGCATGTAATCCAAAAAAATCCAAAAATCATAAAATCATAAAATCATAAAATCATAAAATCATAAAATCATAAAATCATAAAATCATAAAATCATAAAATCATAAAATCATAACATCATAAAAATCGTAAAAATCATAACATCATAAAAATCGTAAAAATCATAAAAAATACACAATTATAAAGTCGGAGTACTAAAATTAGAACAAAAAATAAAATAAAATTATTATCACCAGATTCATTACAATATAAAATAAATCAAAATTAGCAACAAGTACAATAAAATACGTCATTTTACCTTTACAAATCGCATATTCTGTGTCGACAACTATGATAAACCGCCTGGACAACTGAGTTGGCAGTACTTCTGATTCTATTCATAAATGAAGCAGCCCTCTTTCGTAGCACTGCAAAGAAGTCGTCTACCCTGTTCCCGGCGAACATGCCAGATGCACTACACCGCCACGGCAGGTTAAGCATGGCTCTAAAAGCGTTATTATATTGTACTCGTAATGCGTTGTACGTTCTCTGGGTGTAATTCCTCCATAAGCTACAGGTGTAAAAGGACTGACAGTACGCCGCGAACAGGGTGACTTTAACCTCCCTACTGCACCTAGCGAAACGGCGTGCTAACATATTACTCTTAGCGGCAATAGACCTCCTTTGCCTCTCCATGTCATCATCGTCCCTAAGGTTATCCCTTATTACGTGCCCTAGATATTTGAAAGAGGTTACGGTTTTAAGTGGTGTCCCGCCAATAGTAATTACTGGGTTAAAGCTGTTAGTTCTGTCGTGTCTAAAAATCATAACCTCCGTTTTGCCCGCATTATAGGTCAGTCCATGACTTGCAGAGTATTTTTCACAAATGTTTAATAATGTACGCAGACCCTGAACGGACGGGCTCAGCAGAACCATGTCGTCGGCGTAGCTCAAGTTATTGACAGGTTCATTTGTCATGTGACAGCCGACTCCAGACCGGCCGAGCTCATCGATCAGACCGTTGACGTACAGGTTGAACAGAGTTGGTGATGTCAGCCCACCCTGTCTTACGCCACACTTAAGGGTATACTCTTTAGAAAAACCTGTATTGGCCCATCTTACCACGTTACTCTGGGCACCATACCAGTACTTGAACAGTCCCAGCAAGTCACAAGGCACGCCAACCTCCTCCATCTTTGCCCATAAGATATTATAATTTATAGTCTCGAATGCACGGCTGAGATCAAGGAAGCAAGCGTACACACTCGTATTTTTACTGTTATAGTATTTTACCGCGTTTTTTAAAGCGAAGATGGCCATTTCCGTTGAGTGTCCCCCGCGGAACCCAAACTGTGCACTATTTATATTTATGTGACTTAATAATTCGGGATGTAATAGCCTCTCAAATATTTTTGACATAAGTGTCGCCAGAGAGATAGGACGGTAATTCTTTATGTCAGACTTATCCCCCGACCCATTTTTTGGCACGGGCACAACCACTGTCTTCATAAAAGTTTTTGGTAAGTAACAGTGGGACAGACATAGATTGTAAAATTTAGACATTAGTTCAAACAACAAATGACCACCATATAGGATATGTTCCACGCTCAGACTGTCGTGTCCAGGCGATTTCCCTTTCTTCATATTTTTTACGCACTTAAATACGCTACATGGAGTTATACAAACACTGGCGTTAGATAATGACTCGCCGATTCGTCGGCTTCTACTCGCCGAGTCACACTGCGACTGAGGCGACGACGGTAACGGTGTCGGTGGCGGCGGCGCCCCAGCGCCCCCCCCAGCTGTTTGGAATTGCTGTGCGAACATCTCTGCTATTTCAGAAATATTGTGACTATTGTTGACTGTCACTGGCATTGCCGGTTTAAAAGATAAACTGTTTGTCGATTTCCAAAAGCTCTTGAAGTCATGATTTGACCTTCGCTCAGCAATTATATCCATTTTTATTTGATTAGCATTATTTTGACACCATCTTATTTTATTCTTAAATAACCTTCTAGCTGTACACATATTATCATACAGCACCCCCTGCGACGGCCTACCGTTTAGCAACCATAGTTGAAAAGCATGTCTTGCTTGAGTATGTAATCCTTTAACGTGGTAGTTCCAACCCGTGACCCACGTCTTTTTATTGTTATTTCTGTTCTGGCCGCGATACGATACTCTCGCCGCCCTAGTTAAGCAGTTAATAATTTCTTCATACATTTGATCTATTGAGAAGTTATGTACTTGGTCGCTACACGGCACGCCACCACAATGCGTACTATACTTGGACACATTTATCTTACTTAAATATTCATTACATAAATCTGTATATAGCTTGATTTGTTCATTATTCCTATTACCCCAAATAACCTGATTTCTTACATTATTGTTTTCAGTTAGACATCTTTTTGGAATTATTATAGACATATTACATTCCACCACCAGTGGAAAATGATCAGACCAAGACACATCTGTAATAACATTTATATTTTTTACAATATTGAGGGCCGCCGAAGTCACAACACAGTGGTCGAGCCAGCTAGAAGTACCGTGTGCTTCACTCAGAAATGTAAAGGTGTTAGAGGACTCACCAAGCATCCTTACATCAGCACACACCCAGTCCTGATCTTCACAGTATGCGGATAGTTCGTTACCGAACATGCTTCCCGTATCGGCTTTAAAATCACCCAAGGCCACGGCGTACTCGGAGCCACAATCTTCTATTATTGAACTCATCACACCTAGACACTCGGTAAACTCTGGAAGATTGTCTATGCATTCTGTAGGCATGTACACTGACAGCACAATCATACATCGGTCCATATGAGATATTTTAATTGCTACGACGCGCTTCGATGAAGACGGGATACGCACAACATTGTTAAATATTGATTTTCTCCATAGCAGGGCCACGCCACCGTATGGTCTTCCTTTCAGCGTTCCAGATGAAGTATCAATCGGAGACACAGCATGATAATCAAAGTCTTCGTGTATACTACCCAAAATTGCCAGGTCGTCAGGCAGCAACCATAGTTCTTGTA